GAAGTGAGAGCCAGGACATGAATAGACATATGCACACCCATGTTCATTGCAGCACTATTTACAATAGCCAAAAGATGGAAACAACCTAGGTGTCCCTCAACTGAAGAATGGATAACCAAGCTATAGTACATACACACAATGGAATACTACGCAACTCTAAAGAATAACCTAGAATCTGCAAAACACCACATAACGTGGATGAACTTGGAGGACATTATGCTAAGTGAAATAAGTTAATTACAGAAGGACAAATATTGTATCAGTATGTTGTTGTAAAATCAAGGAAAGTTTTATCTATGGAAGGAAATTTTCTTTGTTGGTTGCCAGGGTAGGAGGGAAGGGTAGGGAACACTGTTAGATAGGTAGATAGGTAAAGTATTGCTTTGGGTGAAGAGAAGGGCAATGTACCAAATGTGAGTGAGCAACACGGTGGTATTGATGAAGACATAGAGGGGTACATGAGAGGTACAGACAACAAAGATGAACCCTTTCGCACATACAGTACTGCATTATCAGTGAAGGCAAACATGGATAGATGGTGGGTAGATGGGTGGACAGGCTGAACTATCAGGTATGTCTATGCAGGGGGTAGTGTGCCCAAGACCATGTCTAGGGTTGGCAGACAATGTTTCTGAACATGGGTGTGCATATGTCTGTTCTTGTCCTGGCTCTCAGTTCTTTAGGATATATACCTAGTAATGGAATGGTTGGGTCAAATGGTATCTCTAATTCCAACTTTTTAAGAAATCGCCATACTGCTTTCCACAGTGGTTGTATCATTTTGACAGTCCCACTAGCAATGTATGAGAGTCCCAATCTCTCCACATCCTCACCAGCATTTGTTATTTTCTGTCTTGTTGAACTTTGCTACTAGTGCTGGGGCAAGATGGTATCTCGTTGTTTTGATTTGCATCTCTCTAATGGCCAATGATTGTGAACATTTCTTCAAATGTATGGTAAAGTGTATGGCTATGTTCTGTAAGAATTTCCAGGTGTATAATAGAGCTGACAAGGGACAAGGTTGTAGTCACTCATATTTTTAAAATTAAAAAAAAAAAAGAAAAAGAAAAAGCAGCTGATTGCAGATATTAATCACTGTGTATAAAATGCCTTCATAGCAACTCATAGATTAGGGTTTGATTAAATAAATGGGTACTACAGGTTAGCCAAGGATCTCTGGTGGCACAATGCCTAAGACATTTGACTGCTAACCAGAAGATTAGTGGTTCAAACCTACCAGCTGCTGTATGGAAGGAAGATGAGGCAATTTATTTCCATAAAGATTTACCACCTTGAAAACCCGACAGGGTCGTTATGAGTTGGAATTGTCTCCTTGACAGTGGGTTTGGTTTTTTTCTTTAATAGCTTACCCGAAGTTGACATACAAAGCTAACCATCACATGAGGCACATAACAAGGCAGTTGTCTTTGTAGCCCAGCAAACATTTCCTTTCCTTCCTTTCAAAGCCTCCTCCCATCTCTATGCACCCCAGCATCCTCTGACCCCCAATACAGAACCAGTGGAGCTGACTGGCCTACTTCTCCTCCCCTGGTTCCTGAAGGGATATTCCAGCCTTGGCCTATCAGCATGGCCCACTGTCACCGCGTCAGGGTTGCTCATATGACCCATGTCTGACCAATTAATGTCAAACTCAGATTTGTGGGTGCTACTGGAAAAGGAGCTCTGGTGGCATAGTGCCTAAGGCATCTGACTGCTAATCAGAAGGCTGGTGGTTCACACCCACCAGCCACTCTTCAGAAGGAAGACTGGGCAATATACTTCCATAGAGATACCACCTTGGAAATCCAAGGAGGGGTTGCTATGAGTAGAAATCGACTCGATGGCTGTGATAGTTGAAGATGTGTCAACTTGGCTGGACT